ATCTTGCCCTTTGTGTTGTTTCGTTCTAGTTGATCAGTAGTGGAGCCCAGTTGGGGTCGATCGGGGACCTTTGTCGCATTTGGGGTTCTTCTTTTATTTTGGTTCCGTAGACGGACCTTGATTGTATCTGGATGATGTAATGCTTTATTCATGTAATTGTGTGAAGTGGCGATTGTAAGCCAACTATGTATCTCTTTCCCTTATGTATTACATGGATTGTGTGAAGATTACCTCACTTGCGACATTGCTTTCAATGCGGTTATGCCTCTAAGTCGTGCTTCGACACGTGGGAGATATAGCCGCATCGAGGGCGTTACAGCACACCTTTACAAAAAAAGCATAGGTCACTGAATACACTTTAGGGCTGAATACATGGGAATTTGATCATATGACACACTTAAATTAACCACCGATCAGATGCCCCTCTTTTCTTTGGCAACAGATCATATGTCTTTTTCAATTACATAAATGTTTTTTTAATTTCTAACTGCAATAATGCCATGTGAAATGAAAAATGAATCCTTGTGGCAAACTTGCAATTTCCTAACTTTTTTCCTTTATAGCCCAGCCTTGATTGTCAGGTATTAATGACATAGTATCTATCTCTCCTATGGGCGAGCTATCAAATTGGTTCTAAATGTTATGGCAATGTGACAGAGCCAGCATCCGGCTATTATTAGCCATGCTCTAAATAAACGCGTCCCTCCGCCACCACTGCCCAAACCCTAGATCTCCCGGTCGCCAGCCATGGAGAAGGCGGCACCGACCGCCGTGGCAAGAAAGCGTGAATCCGATGGGATCGCTGGCAGCAGGCCAAGGAATCGGGCACGCAGTGGCAACTACGATGGCAACTAGGTGGCCGAGGATCCCATCAGCCACCTCCCCGACGCCATCGGTACCATCATCTCCCTTCTTCCCACCAAGGACGGCGCACGCACGCAGGCCCTCTCCCGCCGATGGCGCCACCTTTAGTGCTCCGCGCCCCTCCACCTTCAGGCTAATAGCAGCCTCTGCAGCAACCTTCGCTGGCGCCCCACCATCATCAACAGGATCCTCTCCGACCACCCTGGCCCCGCCCGTCGCTTCCACTTCCCATTCATCCAGTTCACACCCGGCGACATAGACAGCCGGCACATTGAGCTCGACGGCTGGTGCCAATCCCGAGCCCTTGACGGACTCCAGGAGCTCAATATCTGCTACGGGAGATGGTCGAGAGAACCGCCTCAGTTTCCTGCTGTCGTCATCTGCGCCCCGCTTTGCACCCACCCTCCTCGTGCTCAAAATCGGCTCGTGCAATTTCCCCAGTGAGATCTCACCATCGTTGAGTTTCCCCCTCCTCAAGCAGCTCATCCTACGGTGCGTTTCCATCTCGGAGGATGTATTCGACCAGGTGCTCTCTGGATGCCGTGCCTTGGAGAGCCTTCAGTTGTGGGACATTCTTACTGCGCGTCGCCTCCACATTCGCTCACTAACTCTTAGGAGCATTGGCTTCCGTGCTCGTAGTGCTTGCACGCAAGAACTAGTCATTGAGGATGCTCCCAGCCTCGAAAGATTTGTGTCACTTTATTCTCCGGACATAAGTTTTGAGACTATCCGCGTAATTGGTGCGCCTAAACTGAAAATATTGGGCCTTTTTTCACCATGTGTATCCACACTCCAGATTGCAACTCTAGTCATCAAGGTAGCAGTAGCAACCTTCTTGAATCTTGCATTTGCTGTACCTACATGCATTTCATTATTTTTTATGTTCATTGTTTTCTTTAGGGAGTGTCCCCAGTCAGCTTGGCAAACTCAATATGCACTGTGAAGGTTCTGGCTCTCTACTCTTCTGGCTCTCAGTTGAATGCAGTTCTAAACATCCTCAGGTGCTTTCCCCGCTTGGAAAAGCTCTATTTCACTGTGAGTATTCGTCTTTGATTGCCTTGTCAATGTGAAATTTTATTTTGAGGTAAGTTAGCTGATAGTAACCTAATCTGGTTAGAAATGGCTCTGACATATGGCACCTTTCTCTTCTTTTTTTCAGTTGAAACACCCAAAGATGGATATGAAAAATGTGCGCCTGTGTGACCCACTAGATCCAATCGAATGCCTCGCAATCCATCTAAAAAAATTGGTGTTTGAAAATTACAAAGGCCGTGACCAAGATGCTGACTTTGCCAAATTCTTTATTTTGAACGCAAAAGTGCTGAAGGAAATCAAAATTTCAAGCCCTAAGGGCAACGATATTCAATGGGTGGACGATCAACACAGGCTGCTACAAGTGGAAGATAGAGCTTCTCGAGATGCTGAACCTGAATTTAGAAGTGAGTTTAGCTGTTTGGGTAAAACCAAACAGATTCATGATTTATTGGATAATCCCTTCGACTGCTCGTGTTCTAGAATTAAATGCAATGTTCTTTCAGGTGAAGCATGTCCATGATTCGTCAATGGCCGATCTTTTCAAATCCTTGTCTCATAGACAGGGTTAATGCCCGAATATTGTGTAGTCTTTGCCCCTTCTCTAGAAGATATGCTCGAAAATTGTATTAGCTTTTGTCCAGACTCAATTTATGGCTGCTCGATCTCTGGTTAGAACTTATTTCCTGTTTTTGTCTCACTAAGTTATCTATGTTGAAACTGCAAAATGTATGAATGCAAAAAGGGTTTATCAAAGCCATTACCGCTCATCATGGATGCAAATTTATATACTGATGTAAAATGTATGCTGACTGCAAAACATGCTTGTATTGAAAAATCAATCATCTTTTCACATACAAAAGTTTGTAAGGTTTGAGTGCTGGTTTTCGAACCGCTTCCGTTTTTGCTTTACTGTACTCTTCTCAGTGCAGATGCTCCTATGAACTCTCGAGGTTTTGTTTTTGTTGCATAATTCTCTGTTTGTAGATCAGGTGTTTGGTTGTCATTTTAATCAAAACTTCTGCTGCTATGTTTGGAGGCGAGCCTGCACTGGTCTCATCCGAATGGAATTGTAAGATCGTCTCATGGTGGGAATATTAACAGCCGGGACCTCGTATTCAGAAACAGCAAGGTGGTTCATTTATTGGGTTATGCGCACCTTCTGCCTGTTAAGTTGTTTTCAGAAATTATTACTAGGTAAGAATCAATCTTATTCGCTGTTCTGTGATGGCGGAATGATTTGTCAGTTTCACTGATTATTTGCGATAATTCTAGGTTGGTTACGAATCCCCTTTAGTAGTCTGTGCTTTCTAGAAAATGGAGAAACGATGACTGTCTTTGTAAACACAAAAATTGCTTCATGTAGTATGGCCATATAGTGTTGATGTGTAATTGGTATCATCAGAAATTCATTATCACTGCCATGCTATTAATGTATTTTTGCAAGATACTCTCTTGGTTCACCGCGAATAGCATTAGCAGCCAACTGCTAGTGGTAGGTTGTGGGTAGAGTAGATGATTCGGTTATCTGGGAAGCTGTTGAACTGTCGAACCACGTGTGTTTATCACCTGAACTTCCGCGAACCATAGTTTCTCCCTGCCCATTTGTTCTGTGCATTCCTCTGATAATTTCTGCCTTGCAACTTACATAATTCTTTGAATGGAAATGCTTTGATCTTAGCCTATGCTGTGCGGATTTCATGGTTATCTGGGAACAGCAAGAAGAGCAGGTGATGTGAAGAGCTACGCGTTTGTATAACTATGCAATGTAATACCAGTTTAACCCTGTATCTGTACCAAGTACCATGTTCATCTTGTTGCCACATTCTGTATTCATAAGCATTATACCATGTTTCATGCATGGATCGAATGTCATGGATATAAGCTATTTGGTGGGTCATTTCTTGTTTCTTAAAAATGGACCTTGTACCATCTGAGCTGTTACCTGAATCTGCAACTGGAATGCAGTGTTCCTTTGACCACTTCTACCGATGGTTTATTAGTGCTGTTAACTGGGTTTAAGAGCTAACTCTCCCGAATCTGGATGAAATTCGCAAGTCTGGATTTCTCTTGTGCTGTGGCACCAGACCAGTCGCTGGCGGATACTTCCATAGTTAAACAGATCATTATGCCCCTTTAGGAGATTCATTGTACAGATTAGTATCATGGAAACAGATGGTGATGATCTACACAATGTATCCACCACTGAGAAGGCATTATATTCTGATTTTGTAGAGAATTTACCTGAGTTTGTCCTCCACGGCCATCTAAGGCGATCTCCGCCCTCGCTTAACTGAAAATGTGACCAAGGAATAGTGCTTCAATGGCCCGGCCCCCGCTCCGACATGTCCGGGTACAGATCAGCTACCCGGCGGTTGCCACGGCAGGCCCTCCGCCACCGTGAGTTTCTTGGAGCGCCTGAATATGGAATTCAAAAGTCTTTGATTATTTTCTTCCTCCATGTATCCAACTATCCATCCGGGACATGAGGACCTGGTAGATGGTTCCAAGATTGCAAAAGGATGTGCTAGATGGGCACGAAACTGAAGCGGGAAATCTCACCGCTAAAAAATAACAGATGATACAGTTTTCAGTTGCCCGCCAAACTCCCAGACCTGAATTTCTGAACGAGCGGCAAATCTCCCCGCCAAATCGAAAATTTCGTCCAGTTGCCCGCCAAACTCCCAGAACTGAAATTCAGAGGATACAGTTTTCAGTTGCCCGCCAAACTCCCAGAACTGAAATTCAGAACGAGTGGGGAAATAGAGTTTTCAGTCTCCCCGCCAAATCGAAATTTTCGTCCAATCTTACTGGGCGCGAAACTGGAGCGGGGAAATAGACGCGGATTTTCAATTTTTCGTTTTCAATTAATGATACACGAAATTGGGGCGGGAAACCCCAACACCAATTTTTTTTAGTCACGCGCCAAAGAAGTTGATTCCCACCTACCTTCGCAGTTGCCCGCCCAGGCCCCTGGATGGACGTAATTCAAAGCACATGGGTGATAACAATTCTGAGAAAATCGACAACAAGGGCCAAGGGCAGATGAAACACAGATCGAATAAAATGTATGAAAGCAACTTATTGTTTCATTGAAATCGCAGTCAGAAAATACAACGACAAAGCAAGAACAGTCTACTTCGAACTGAAGTATCCTGAAACACACCCATCCATACATCCCAGCTACAGCCTAACTAAGCAAGGAATCTACGCCTTCTTGGGGGACTTGGCGGTCTTCTTGGGCGACTTGGGCTCCTTGGGGGACTTCTCGGCCGTCTTCTTGGGGAGCAGCACCGGGTTGATGTTGGGGATCACGCCGCCGTGCGCGATGGTGATGCCGGCGAGCAGCTTGCCGAGCTCCTCGTCGTTCCTGATGGCGAGCAGCAGGTGGCGGGGGATGATGCGGCTCTTCTTGTTGTCCTTGGCGGCGTTGCCGGCGAGCTCCAGCAGCTCGGCGGCGAGGTACTCGAGGACGGCCGCGAGGTAGACGGGGGCGCCGGAGCCGACGCGCTGCGCGTAGCGGCCCTTCTTGAGGAAGCGCCCGATGCGGCTGACGGGGAACTGGAGCCCGGCCTTGACGGACCGCGACACGGACTTCTTCCTGGGGCCTCCGGCCTTGCGACCGGCGGCGCCCTTCTTCCCCTTCCCGGTGGCTACGGTGGCTGAGGCGTCCATGGCGAGCTGGAGAAAGGAATCGGGTAGTGGAGAGATGTGTGTGGGGATTGCTTGGCTGCTGATTGCCGAGTGCGTTGGTGGCCAAGGAGACGAGATTTGCAGAGTATTTATTTCGAGGGGAGGGAGGAGGAGGAAGTGGCGGTGGGCCCATGGATCCGCGTGAACGTGCAATGGACGGCTGGATCGGGAGCTGAATGGACGGCTGTGATGCCAACAAAAACAGTTCTGCTGCACGGGATGAAATTGTATTGTTTGCTTGTGTGCATTGAGCCAAACACGATAGAAACGACCGAATCAACAGTTTTCAGTGAGGCAAGCTCGAGCAATGCAAAAAAAAGGATGTGTCCAGAGATGCGACCTCTATGATAACTAGTTGTATGTGAGGTTGTATGTGGTGTGTTTGATTTAACACCTAATCTCGCCCACTTATTAGTTCCGTCTAATGTACACGATGGTGCTTAGATTTAAGATAAGGTCCATATATAAAAGGAAGCACATCCATGTTTGGTTAATTGTAAATATTCAATTTCGTGTTCATGTTTGGAGCTATTTTGGATGACTTTTGTCAAATTTATCATGCACGGTCGATCGTTTGAAATTTCCTTTGACCAATATTTTCATCTCGAAGTTCCACATGACTTTCGTGTTGCATGTTTTTATTTTCGATGAACGTAGACGAGTAAATTTACATCTTGACCCGGTTAAGCAAAAGTAGGACCAACTTTTGGCCGCATAGGCTGCGACCCATGCTCTCGCTCGCGACCGCGACTCCTCCCCACCTACTCCCCCTCGCCGCCGATTTCCCCGTGACGGCGAGCCCCCCCACCCCACACCCCGCCCCATGCCGAGAGTCGACAGATCTACCTGCTCGCCGCCCCGCCCGGGCTCGACGATCCCGTACATGCCTCCCCCCTTTGTGTACCGGGCATTTTCGGAGATGTTGTGCCCGATTGGGTTGGTGTCGCCGGAGACGCTGCGGGCGACGCGGATGCGGAGGTGGACGGAGCAAGCCATGCGGATCCGTGACGACGCGTCCTCCTACCTCCTTTGTGTGCGGGAGTGGAGGGCGCTGCAGCAGAAAGCGGAGGAAGAGCCAGATCCAGAGATGAAGGTCTGGGCGTCATGGGGGATCAAAACCTACAACGACATCACAGATCAGGAACTCCTCAATCTGGCGAGGAGTAACTATTTCGAGGGGAATCGAGGCGAGAAGAGGAGGATGCCACACCCGACGGCTTCCCCGAAGGATTTCGTCAATTGGGCGAGGGCGGAGGCAAGGAGCGCAGATCCACAGAGGCGGGCGAGATGGGAGTGCATCGAGGGCAAATTACCATCGGCGCCGCCTTCGGACTCCGAGGAGGTCGACCCCTGGCCATACCTCTCGCCTGCACCAGCCATGGACTGAGCCCAGGGGCATCCTACAACAGTGGCACACATGGCCCCGAGCATCACGAGTGGGCAGTGCACTTTTGGCTGGATCCGGGGCTTGCAGGTGTTCATGGTGTGGTTTGCAGTCAGAGGCCCGCAGTGAGAATGGAAGGAGAGTTTCGTGCTTGCTTCGCCTACCACGCCGGCCATGAGTGTGAGAGGGGCAACACCAGATCTGGAGGAAGAAGAATTGCGGGTCATGGAGAGGGGCGAGAAGCTGTGAAGAGTGTTGAGGCTGCCCAGGAGGGGTGCAGAATCAACCCAGAAGCTAGTGACGCGCATTTTGGTGTACGCGGAGGAGGAAGAGATACCTCTGATTGCGCCAAATTAAGCCACCCCGCCATCGAAAGTGATTGCGTGGGCGCTGGCGGGGAGAACTTCAAGACTCAAATCCAGAAGAGTGCGATGGGAAGCATTCTATCGTGCTTAATCACAGGAGACCATGGATCTCATGGAGAGGCTGTTGAGCTCCAACCAAGAAAGGATTTGATGGTCTCTGGTGAAACTGAAGCCATGGTGGTTATGGAGCGGGTTCAGAGTGATTCAGAGAAGCGTGGGCGCCAAAAAGGTGTACAAAATTCGGGGGAGCTTTCCAGCCTGCCATGGTGACGAAGCGGAGCTCAGATATAGCCAGCTGTGGAGTGGTATAAAAATCGTCAAAGGGGGGGAGGAGATTAGGGTTCCCACTTTCCCCTCCTCCTCTCTCAGCGCCGCCGCCACCCCATCCCCACCAGACCTACGTTGAAGGACTGTGCCTACGTAATCCTCCTTACGTTACACAATATTATATAGGGTAGGGTATTGGACGGCCAGGGGCATCTCTCCTAACCATGTATCCTCCCAAAATCTTGTTGACATCCCATTGCCCACCAAGAATTTGCCCTACGAAAGAACAAGTCCTTCGTTCTCATAAGTCCCTTCCAGAATGGCGAGTCAGTCGATCGCATGGTAACCTGAGCTAGTGTCTTCGAGTGTAAATACTTATTGCGCAGGATTTGTGACCATATACCCTCCGGCTCAGTCTCTAGCCTGTATAACCATTTACTCATAAGACATTTATTCTTAATTTCAAAGTTCTCAATACCGAGACCCCCTTGGTCTTTAGGTCGGCAAAGGATACCCCATCTCGCGAGGCAGTATTTCCTCTTGGCCTCATCAGACTACCAGAAGAAACAAGATATAAAGAAATCAAGTCGCTTCCGAACCCCTTTTGGAATTTCGAAGAACGAAAGTAGAAACATCGGCATACTAGTCAGTACTGAGTTAATCAGGACTAACCGACCTCCATATGACATAAGCTTGCCCTTCCAGCAGCTACGTTTTTTTTTCAATTAGTTCTTCAATACACTTCCATTCTTTATTGGATAGCTTATGGTGATGGATCGGAATACCCAAGTAACTGAATGGTAAAGCACCTATTTCACATCCGAACAATTGTCTGTAAGTGTGTTCCTCGTCTTTGGCCTTCCCAAAGCAGAATAACTCGCTCTTATGAAAATTAATATTTAAACCAGATAATTGTTCGAAGAGGCATAAGATAAGTTTCATATTACGTGCCTTTGCCATGTCATGTTCCATGAATAAGACAGTGTCATCAGCATATTGTAGAATGGATACTCCTCCATCGACTAGATGAGGAACTAAACCCTCTACATGGCCATGCTGCTTGGCCCTGCCAATAATGATGGCCAACATATCTGCCACAATATTGAACATAATAGGAGACATGGAATCCCCTTGTCTCAGCCCCTTATGTGTCTGAAAATAGTGACCGATATCATCATTCACCTTGATTCCGACACTACCCTTCTGGACTTGGGTATCCACTTGGTTCCTCCAAGCTTCACTAAAACCCTTCATGCGCATTGCCTGCTGAAGAAAAGGCCACTTTACATTATCATATGCCTTCTCAAAATCCACTTTGAAGATAACCCCATCTAGTTTCTTCGAGTGGATCTCATGAAGCGTTTCATGCAGCACGACCACCCCTTCCAATATGTGTCGCCCCGGCATGAACGCTGTCTGGCTGGGTTGGATCACTGAATGAACAATTTGTGTCAATCTATTGGTTCCAACCTTTGTGAAAATTTTGAAACTCACATTGAACAGACATATAGGCCGGAATTGTTAGATCCAAACTGCCTCATATTTGTTAGGTATCAGCGTTATTGTACCGAAGTTAAGATGAAACAACTCTAAATGACCATTGAAAAAATCATGAAACATAGGCATAAGATCATCTTTAATAATATGCCAACATTTCTTATAGAATTCAGCTGGAAACCCATCCGGTCCCGGTGCTTTATTCGGCTTCATTTGTGATATTGCCAGAAGAACCTCTTTTTCAGGAGAGGGACGCGAACAGGCTGCGACGGGAGATGAAGCAACGGAGGGAGATGAAGCGAACAGGCAGCGGCCGAAGAGGCGCGCAGTTCGAATTCAGTGTCCACATCAGAAAACGTTTCAGCTCCCGCGTGACCTTTTGTATACCCATCATGCATGGCAAAAATTTAGACATCGGCTCGGCTCATTCCCGCAACCCGCGCCGCGTCGTGATGAGGCGTGGCGTGGCGAGGCGGGCGGCGGAGGAGGAGCGCGCGTGGATGTCCCTCTTATTCTCATCCTCATACATGTGGAGAAAGAGCCTCCCTTATAAAGAGGTCCAACTCCCTCTAAACTAGCAATGTGGAACTAAACTTTGTTCCACCTCTTGCCTTGCACGAATGAGCTGCGTGGGCCTCTTTGATTTATTAGGAATTTCTGAAACTGCTATTATGCTAGGCCCAAAAATAGACAAAATTCCAGCAATCCCCCACCAGATCCCAGAGGCACACAAAAATTTCCTCTGGTTCCAAAACACTGTTTTATATACCGGTACTACAGTGGAGACTGTTAAGTTGAACTTCAACCTAGAACTCTATGCTACACTAGTAAGCAACTTGAACAGTGGACTGGGCCTTGAACTGCAAGTTTTCTGCGAATCTAGCTTCACATAAAGCCTTGACCGATACGTGGCTACCATGGGTCTTCCCCGCGGGTGGAGCTTATGCGTCATACTCCGAGACCTTTAATGAGTTTACTAGAGAGAACCCTACTCTCATAGATTGCGATGTTTAACAATCATACTCATATAGGTGTGTTCTTCAAAAGATGTTCTGCAGGACAACATCTCTGCTTAAAAGAGCCACTTAGAACACATGAAGATATACATCAACCTGCCATGCAGATTAGAAGAGTATTGCATCTTCATGGAGTGGTATTGTTAATAGTAAGGATACTCTCCTCTTAGTTGATCAACAACTTGTCTTCCACATCTAATTCACGGGATCTCCGATCACAAAGAATAGGTTACCACTATGAACAACTCATATTGTGGGTCTCATACCCATCTCCCTCGATGCATTGTCTATCACATTACGTGATAGACCCTTAGTAAAAGGATCTGCCAGATTTTTAGACGTTTGGATATAATCCAATGCAATAACTCCAGAGTTTTTCATTTCCCTAACAGACTTTAACCTTCTCTGAACATGTCTTGATGACTTCATGTTATCCTTTGAGCTGCTCACTTT